GATGATTTTATTGTTCTTTCTGAGTCTAAGGCTCACATATTAACTTCAAAGTCTTTAGAATTACAAAAACTGTGACAGCAAACAATAAAACAAGGTCCATCTACAGATTTCTTTCAAGTTTAAAGTAATAATAATACTCTATCCCATCAAAAAAAAAGAAGAAGAAGATTCAAAAATGTGCTTCTGGTGAGGGGCAAGAGAGATAGTAGAACAGATACGGTGCTTGCCTTGCATTCAGCAGACCCAGGTTCAATCCCTGACATCCCTTATGGTCCCCTGAGCCTGAGAAGTAAAGTCTGGACATAGACAGGAATAATTCCTGTGCACTGCCAGGTGTGGCCCAAAAACAAAAAAGTGTTTCTACTAAAACTCTATCCCAGAGTCAAAACTAAAAGATTTCAAAATACAAAGAGAATTCAGTCAGAATCTCGAAAACCAAAATGACAATCTGACTGGATGATACAGATCCACTAACAGTTATAAAATCCAATTGTAATGTTCTGTGTACAAATTTTATCTCCAAACAGCTGAAGTTAATGTGTCGTTCAAACCCCTCATAGAAGATGGCTCCTCCTTCCCTTCTTTCCCATCCATCCCCATTATTACTCTGTGTAAAAAAAAAAAAAATTTAATGAAAGCATTAGATTCACCTTCAAGACATAATTTCATAAGTATCTTAAACCACCTATGATAATATCATGAAACCCCCCCCCCAAACTGTTTAGTGACAATTTCCCCATTTCCTTGCATTCAAATAAAAATCTGTGAAAATTTCTGACAAGTGTGGGAAATGCTTATCGTTACGTCTAGGGGTTCTTAAGAAAGAAATGGCCTATGGGAAATCGGCAGGACTCCAAAGTCCTAAGGAACAGAGCCACTGGATATATGGAGCTCACTATTACACAGACCAAAAACACAGGTGCTGGCATATAGCTCAGTTGTAGAGCACTTGCCTCACATGTCAGGCCCTGGATTCAACCCCTAGAACTACCAAAAATTAATAAAACATCAGTTGTTAACCAGTAGCACCTGCATCAGACTATCAGGCATGTAAAATATAAACTTAAATGTATTAAGCTACTGAAATTTTGGGGTTATTACCCTAATTAGCATTTTCCAAAGTAATACATGCACAGAGTTTTAAGTATTTCAATTCCTTCTAATTAAAGGCATTTATAAGAGATATTTTTGGAAAATTATTTTAAGCCCATTTAAGTAACATTTAATTTTAAAACCCAAATAGTTTTCCATCTTTGAATGTTGTAACAAAATTCATCTAGCTTAAAGTATGAACTATAGTATGTGCGATTCCTCCATCATGTCCAAATATTTTAATATGTTACTTCAACATCATTTATTTTCCTGACTGTAGCACTGTCCTCCCATTGTTCATTGATTTACTCAAGCGGGCACCAGTAACATCTCCATTGTGAGACTTCTTGTTACTGTTTGGCATATCGAATACCTCACAGGTAGCTTTGCCAGGATTTGCCATGCGGGCAGGATACTCTCAGTAGCTTGCCGTGCTCTCCGAGAGGGGCAAAAGAATCGAACCCGAGTCGGTTGCTTGCAAGGCAAACACCCTACCCACTGTGCTATTGCTCTAGCAATGTGTTCCTCAGTTTTCCCAAATCAGAAATTATAAAGCGTTTTTTTAAACAGTTATTTAAAACGTCTAATGAAAATACCTAATTCAGAGCAAAATTAATTTCATTCTTTCAAATAGTTCTTAAAGATTTTTTTAATTTTAAATAACTATTCCTTAAATGCAATCATCTGGCAGATAATTCTATTCACTGTTGATGCACACATACTATAATATACACACTTAGCATATATATACTTAGCTTTCTAATCAAACCGTCCAATCACAAATGTGTTGAAAGTTTAGTAGTTTACCAGGGTTTTGTTTTGGGGCCACACTCAGAGGTGCTGTCAGGCATCACTCCTGGCAGTGCTCTGGGGACTGTGGTGCAGAGGGATCAAACCCAGGTCTGCTGTGTGCAAGGTCAGGGCTTATCCGAATACTTTCTCTCCAGCCCTAGGCTTTTGTTTCTAACTAACACTGCTAACTAACAACAAATAATAAAACATGAGCTCTAACTGGGAAACCTGGCATTAGCAAACAGATACATTAAAAACTTAAACCAACTAAACTCATCTCACATTCTCTACACCCTGCCTCTATTTATAAAACATAAACCTAACCTCTCTGTTGCCCTTACCTTTATCACCATACCATTCATTTTTCTACAACAGGTTTCAAGTTAAATGAGTGGCACATTAGGCATTAGAATATTCTCCACACAAAAAATTACTGAAAGCTGACAGAGGATATCTGCTGTGAACCAGACTATATTTCGAGTTTTATTTACCAGAATCTTACCAGCATAAATCAAATAAATTATATGGCAGTTTTTGTAGATCTACTTTGTGGATCTATACAAAGTAAACCCTGGTTCCCTCGCTCCTTCTAATACTTGTGGAACATACATGGGCTATCTAGAGCTTTAAATTTTTTTCCCAAGGCTACAGAGCAAACACTCATTTAAAAAAAAGAGTAATAAAATTGAGAAATAGCATACTAAAAATTATTCTGAAAAATTAAGACCACATAGCCTCCAACACTAATACACTTTAATAAGTCTTATTCCTAGGGGGGAGAGCTTCTGAATTACACTAAATTGAAATTTCTCATAAACTATAGCTTATCAAATGACTGAAATGCTCTTAGGTTAAGTGGGAATGAGGGGTGATCTAACCTAACTCCCCAAACCTGAGAAACACTATTATCTTGGTTTTTAACTTAGTTACGTAACACTACTCCTAGTAACTGAGTATCTGTACACTTATTATTTTTAGTGTCCACAGTCAGGCCTGCAGGAAGAAAACCTAATATCTACTTAAGTGTCTACTATATACCAAATCTTTGTTTTCTCATTCTAACCTCACAACGAGCTTCCTATAACTGATTTATCTCCTTGTTACAAATGAAAAAACTAGAGGTTTACAAATAACAGGTACCTTGCCTAAGGTCAAACAGCTAAGAAAAATGGTACCGAAGAAGTTCTGAGGTCTGTAGAACAAGACCTTGTTAACCACATCTGTTGTTTTTCCAGTAGCAGTCATAGGGGGAAAAAAAAAAAAAACCTCCATTCCTCCTATTCTTCTTCTCCCACTTCCCAATACGCATCCAGGAAGATTTCTTTGTGAGATGAACAGAAAGAAAGAAAGAAAGAAAGAAAGAAAGAAAGAAAGAAAGAAAGAAAGAAAGAAGAGAGAAAGAGCAATATCTGGCCATGAGCAGAACCTGGCCTACACGTCAGGATCGAATCTGTAGCATGACTTATCCCAAACACAGCCAGATGTGCTCCAACGAGAAGCACAAGGAAAGAAGTCCGAGCGACAACAAATAATCACCCCAATCCCACGGACTGGCTCCCTGCAAACGCTGAGCCTAGGAGCAAGCAACAAGCAAGCGCATCGGCCTTTCTCCGAGCTGTCCCTGGCTGGGCCCGCTCTCCAAGAGCGCTTGCAGAAGTGCCCACCGAGCAGACAATAGAGGCTGTTAGATCGGGGTTTTGGAGAACGAAGGGGCAAGAGTGTGTGTGTGCGTGCGTCTGTGTGTGTGTGCGTGTGTCTGGAAGCGCCGGACCTAGATGGACAATGAGGTGGAAGTCGAGGCAATCGCCGCCTCCGACGTGTCCAAACGGCTCCGGGCTCAGCCCAACTCCCTAAACCAGGCACCGGGGCGCCCGGGCTCCGTCGCCAGGCGGCCGGCCGAGCGCGAGGATGACAGCTCCAGCAACTTCCTCTTCCTCCGGGCCCGCTCGGCGAGTCCGCGCCTCTCCCCCAGGAGGCAGGAGCAGCCCGGCTCCAGCCCCCCGCGCCGCGCCGCGCCGACCCCAGCAGCGCCACCGGCCGCCGCCAGCTCCCGTCTCTGCCCCCACCCCCACCCCCACCCCGAATCCCTCGGCCCCTCGGCCGGGAAACCAATGCCTACATCTTCTCCACGAGCGCGCGTCGCTGCTGCAGCCAAACAGAAAAACCCACGCCCCGCCCGGCCTCCCCGGGAGCGGCGGCCGGGGAGGAAGAAGAACGGGCGGGCTCCGGGCCGCGCCGCGCCGTCCACTGGCCCGCGCGCGGCCCGGGCCCCGGGGGAGGCGGCGAACCGGCCCCGCTCGGTCTCGGCGTCCCCCAACGCGGGGATGGGGGGTCGGGGAGGAGGGGGGAGCCGCGGAGGCGGCCGCGGCCACCGCCAGCGGCGCGGCCCGCCCCCGCCCCTCACCTGCCCAGGCCCGCGGCCGTGCCCAGGGCCCGCGCGGGGCCCCGCGTCCCCGGGCGAGAGGGGGCCGCGAGGGGGCGGGCGCCGAGGCGGTTAGGCCGCGCTGCAGGCCGGGCGCGCTTCCTGCCGCGGCCCCCCGCGGGCGACCGGGGCGCCCCCCACCCACTCGGCCCCGCGCGCGACCACCCGCCCCCCCCCGCCACGGCTCACCTGCGAGGCGCCGGCGCCTGGGCCACAAAGGCGGGGGCGGCCCCCCCCCTTGCCCCGCGCCCCGGACCCCCCAAACCCCGCCACCCACACACCCTGGAACCTTCGGCGGTGGCGCCGCCGCCGCCACCGAGCGGGCCCCCCCCCCACATACACACACACACACACACACACACACACCCATGCGCGCGCTCGCGTGCACCCCGGCCCTCGCCCACCTCGCCCCCTCCCCAACCCCCCTGCTCCCCGCTACCTCATTCTCTTCCTCGGGCCCAGAAGGAGCAGCAGCAGCCATTTCCCCGCGGCAGGGGCGCCACACACACACACCGAGACACACACACAGACACACACACAGACACAGACTCACACGCACACCGCGGCGCGCGCGCGCGCGCACCCGGGCCCCAGCTGCCGCGCTCCGGAGCAGGCGGCCGCCGGCGCCAACGCCGAGCCCCGCGCCCCGCGCCCCGCGCCCCGCGCCCGCGCCCGCGGCCGGCCCCCTCCTCACCTGCATCCAGCGCGCCGGGCTCCGGGCGGCGGCGGCGGCGGCGGCGGCGGGGCGGCGGCTGCTGCTGCTGTTGGGGCTGCGGCGGCGGGGGAGGCGGCGGCGGCGGTGGCGGCGGGGCTGAGGGCAGCAAAGACATGCAGGCAGCCCGCCGGGGGGAGCGGCGCCGGCCGGAGGGGACGCGGGGCGGGCGGGCCGGGCCGGGCTGCCGGGGGCACGGCGAAGGCGGCGAGGAGGACGGCGGGCGGCAACGGGAAGAGGACGGCCGGCGGGCCGGGAGGAGGGGGGCCGCGGGCCGCCCCGCCTGCGGGCTGCGGGGACCGGGAGCCGGGGCGCTCGAGCGAGGCCCCGCGGCCGCGGCCGCCGACGTGCAGGCCCCCGCCGGAGGAAGCGGCGCCCCCGCAGCCGCCGCCCGAGCCGCGGCTATGACTCCGCGAGCCGCGCCGAGCCTGGCCTTGGCCTTGGCCTGCTGGCGCTGGGGCTGCCGCCGCGGCGGGGGTGGCTGCTGCGCCTGCCGCTGCCGAGGCCAAGGCTGCCGCCCCGAGACGCCAGCTTTCGGGGCCCCCGCGCTCGCTCGCACCGCGTTCACACCCCCGGAGGCCGGGGGAAGAGGCGCCCGCGAGATACCGGGATTGAGATTAATAACAAGGTGCAGAGAGTGCGCGAAGGAGGGCGGCTTGATTGACGTGGAGGGGCTGGCGGGAGTCCGTCACGGCCCGACGCCGAGGGCGCGGGGGCGGGGCGGGGGCGGGGCTCCGGCGCCGCGCCTCGGCCCCGCCCCTTCCCCGGGCGGCCGCGTCTCGGCCCCGCCCCCTCCCCGGCCTGCCGCCGCCGCCGCCGCCGCGGCTCCGAGCGGCCGGCGGCGGCGGGGCGCGTGCGCGCGCGGCGGCCAAGGGTCTTTCCCGGGTTCTCCCGCGGCCTCGGCGCTCTGCTCGCTCCCGGGGCTCGGCGGGGGGTTGCGCTGCTCCGGGCCGCCCACCAGCCCCCCACCCCCCACCCGCGACGGGAAGGAGAGCGGGCGGCCCCGGGAGCTGTTTACTTCACGCTCGCCGGAAGTGGCCTGACGGCGCGGCTCGGGGTGGCTCAAAAGAGGCGCCAGGTGAGGCGAAGGGGCCCGGAGAGGAAGCGTTTCCCGGCGTCCTCGTGCGTCGCCGTGGTGGGCTTCTCTCACACACATACACACACACGGAACGTGTAGCTCTCTGTCCGTTGTGTCGTGAGAGGCCAATGAGGGGCACCCGCGACGCTTTTCATTGCTCACCGGGCCCGGTTGGGTTTTCTAAGTTTCGCCCAGCCCCTCCTCGCGATATGTCGAGCGACGTCGCCCGGGGTTGGCGGCGCCGAGACATCCAACTGCTGACGAGGAAGTAGGAACGCTTGTGGAGAGCTGAAGCGGGAGCCGCGGGGGGGTTTCATTTGGCTCTCACGGGGGCGGGAGGCCCGACCCCCCAGCTCTCACCGCCCGCCCGGCAGCCCGACACTGGAGGCCGGGTTCTAGAAGCAGAACCCCCGCGCCCTCGGTTTCGCACGGGTTCAGGGTCGCGCTCAAAGCGTGGTTCCAGCCCCGCTGCTCGCCAGCCACCTTCCACAGGTGCCGTTCGCAGCCAGGAGTCTGATCCCCCCGGCTGGGGTGGAGCCGGGGTGGGGGGCGGGGGGGGGGGGCACCAGTTGAACATCTTGTGTTCGCTGCAGTTCCTCTCAGGCCCTCATTAAATGTGAAAGGCCAGTCGGTTCGCCTGGGAGAAAATGCAAAACCGCCCTCCAGTCAGCACTGAGGTTCTCTTCACCTCTGCAGGACAATTGCCACTTTCATCTTTATCACCTGGAGGAGTGGGCGAGTGAAGCCCCCCCCCCCGCCCCTCGGGGACTTAGAAACCCTCCCTGCCAGAAGACTTGGTTAAGTTTCCCTTTTCCTCCCTAGCAACACCACATCCTAACCAGTTCCTGCAAGAGTTGTCAAAATGGCCTTCCATCCTGGAAGAAGTCCCACACTCGGTCTCCCAACCATCTTGTGTAAAGGTTGACATAATGAATAATTAGTTCTTTTGCGTAAGCAGCAAAGCAAAACAAGTCACTTCAGGAGCCCAGAATAGTAAACCTGCCTTGATGGCGTCTTGCCATAACAATTCTCCTTGGCACACAAACAACTCCTCCCCAAGGAGAAATACTACCAAATGCTGAGGAAAATGGGAAAGTAAACACCTAAAAATTACGCATCAGAGGAGGGACGTGCTCACAAAAGTAAGCTTCCTCACAAACCCAGTCATGTAGATGGCCCAGATGTTCATTCATATACAATAAACAAACATCTACGCGGGGTGTATTATGTTCCAGATATTGTGTTTAGCTCCAGAGACACCAAGATAAGCCTGCGTAGTCCTGATTCTTAAGTGTTCACAATTGTTGTAGAGGAAACCGACACATACACAGGAAATTCTCACAGAACAAGCCAGAAATGAAAGTATGAAAGGTAACACAAAAGTAGTCGAGCATTAAGGGGTGGGGGGGACAAAAGGTGAGTAAGGCTAGTGGTATACTGCACCATTGGTTTCCCTGAACCATTCTCTGTTATTCTGGTTCTCAGCTGACTAGCAGCAGAGACTAGTGTGAGGGACTTTGAAGATATTTAAAGAGCTCTGACGGGTTGTAGGTCCTAAAGATTAGGTGTCCATACAGGAGTTCATTGTTGACTGTGAAATTTTAGCCAAAGCAGAACATTCAAATGTAAGAATACTGGGTCTGAGTAACCTTTTCTATTAAAAAAAAATGGTTAGTTGAATACAGGTTAAGTTTAAATCTACTCTCAGCAATGTTCTCTTTATACCATGGCAAACGAATTGACACATAAAAGGAAAACCGTGTTTTTATAACTTAGGTGTAACTAAGAATTACTATAATCAAGAAAGTATTTTTCTCATTTGTTATAAGGCTAAGATTAAAGAAGTCATTTTCAAATCAATATATAGGCTATAAAAAAGACTAAATCATACAATGCTATGTGGATAGATCTGTGAAGTATCATGCTGAGTGAAGTTAGGAGAGGGACAGATATAAAATCATCTCACAGCGGGTAGGGCGTTTGCCTTACAAGCGGCCAACATGGCCGACCCGAGTTCGATTCCTCCGCCCCTCTCAGAGAGCCCGGCAAGCTACAGAGAGTATTCGATATGCCAGACACAGTAACAACAAAGTCTCCAATGGAGACGTTACTGGGCCCGCTCGAGCAAATCGACGATCAACGGGAGGGCCTTTACCTTTACCTTTACCATATAGGATAGGGGGAATAAAGCATTTAGGAAATGACATGACCAAAGGTAACAGAACTGAGCTTCCGAAGGGAGCAGAGGTGAGGAGGAGAGAGACAGTGGTGGAGGCTGTGGTCCTGGAACATGCATGAACCCCTATCATTAACAGTATTGTAAGTGACAGTGCCTAAAATAAAATTTTATTTTAATTTAAGTTTCAAATTGTTGGCACTGTACAAATGCCAAAAAGTTCAATCTTGAGCATTTCAAAAACACCACCCTCAGAAGACACAATTCAAGACATTCAAACAAAGCAGTTTTAAGGTAGATCAATGTTTGCAACAGAATAGTAACCACCTTTTGTCACTAAGGGAATTTTTGCTGTTTTTCAGCTACTGTGGTTCTCTAGTTGAGATTAAAAACAATAATGCAGTAGAAACCCTCTCTTTGAAGAAGTGATTTATTCCGTTGAAAGCTTCTGGCTTTCTGATCAAATTGGTTTAACAACAGCACCATAAAGGTACAGTTTGTTCTGAAGCAACACTTAGATTTATTTGTATTACAACATTTGTTCATTCCTTCTCAATTAAAAAAAAAAAGTACGTGATGGTCTAGTGAGCACTACTTATGGCTTTTCCAAGTTGGCAATTTAATATTTGAAAAGAGTAAGTCTTCTGATCTCTTCATGTTTTCTTCTGTTGGTGTCACAGGTAGCTGAACCTACTAGATCCCTTATAATTTTGTTCCTTTGTTTTCTGAAACTCTGTTAAGAAGCTTGCTCTGAAGGCAAAGATTAAAACGTTTTTATTTAAGAACACTTATTGCTATCTGAAAAAGAATTAGATTTAAATGCTGTGGACATTAATGCACATTTTCTACTGATGGCAATGTAACTAATAAAATTGTCATATTTAAATTATAAGGTATAATTTAATGTAATTTGCCTCATATTAAAACAACTTTCAAATAACTATTAATGAAAATAATTTTGAAATTTTAATTCTAGACCTCCTGATGGACCTCCAAACTATATCCCATTGACATATTCTATCTTTTGCTGAACTACGTACCTCTTCATCTTTTTATCTTGGGCTTATTCTTTTTTTTTCTTTTATGGAACAAGAATCAAACCCAGACCCTTATAGATCCAAGTCAAGTGTTCTACCTCTGAGCTTAATCCCCAACTCTTATACTCATTTTATTCCTTTTCTTCTCCCTCTATATTTTTAATGTTATTATTATTTTATTGTGTGGGTACTACTACCATTTCTGTGCTTGGGGATTACTTCTGGCAGTGCTTAGGGACCATCAGAACTAGGTTCAGCCTACTGCAGTATCTTTTGGGCCCTTGTAACTTTATTTCTAATGTTTTTGGAAGTACCATCAACCAAGAGTGTGAAGATATATCTTTCTTCCCTTACAGGCCACATCAGGTGGTACTCGGGGGCTATTCCCAGCTCGTACTCAAGGGTTGCTCATAGCAGTACTTAAAGGGGCTGTCAATGCCAGGGGAGCAAACCCAGGGCTCATGTATGCAAAACCTGATTGGAGTCAGAGTGATAGAGTAGCAAGTGGGGTGCTGGCTTTGCACTCAGCTGACCCAAGTTCAAGCTCTGGCACCCGACATGGTCCCCCAGGCCCCACCATGGGTGATCCCTGATCACAGAACTAGGAAGAAAGCCCTGTATACTGCTGGATGTGGCACAGAAATCCAACAAAAAAAAAATAACAAAATCCTCTCAGCTCATAGAACTGTCACTCTAGCCCCAACAAGCAGTATATTTGTCAGAAAATGAAATGACTTAACTCATTGTCTCTGTTCCTCTTTAATTCCATCAATTTATTCTGTCAACCTGCCCTTAATTTCTTCCTGTGGAACTTTGGCTGGCACCAAGGACCACCCAACTATCTTAGGCAAAGGTAAACACTTTTCACCAGCGTCAATAACATGCCATGAAGGTTGGAAAGATAGTAAAGCAGATAAGGCACTTGCCTGGCATGTAGCAGGCACTAGTTCAATCCTTGACACAACAT